TGAAATGGTCGATCGACCCCAAATGGGGTCCCGACCCACAGGTTGAGAACCACTGGGTTGGGGGGAGAATTGTTCTGTGTTATGAATGGGCCGCGGCCTCGGGGTGGGGGACCCCTGCTCTGGACATTCCTGCAAAGAAAGACGGCTCTGGGTCCTGCCAAAGACAGTGTCTCGAAGGCCCTGCAGACCAATAATCCTGATTAAATTCCGGAACAACCGAGCTAGAATCCTGCATCACGGTGAAAAAGCCTTCTCACGGTGGCATCATCTGAACTAGGTTTCTAAAGCCTTTGGAGCGGCTTCAGCTTGACCATCCGGGGCAGAGCGGGCTGTTCCCAGGCGTGGAGCCTTAGTCCCAGGACGGACGGGTATCCCTCCGCTCTGCCACAGCTGCAGTCCCCAGATGCATTTGCAGAGGCTGTGTGAAATTAATTCTGTGCCTGGTTTTGCTTGTTTCCTGGCTCTTCTTGTCTTTGTTTAAAATATTGTTATGGGTAAATGCAGAATTGTCCTTTCCCCACTTGGATCACAGAGTATTATTGTCAACAGCCACATTCTGAAGTTCAGATCGGCGCCCCATTATCCTTACAGGCTACATTTGCTTCCTGGAAACCCGTCAACCCAGAGAGATTGGATTCTGTCTGCAGTGGAGCAGAGGAGGCAGCAGTACAGAACCAGTGAAAGATGTTAGCATGGGATTCTGACCAACTTCCATAGATTTCCCCCCTCCCAAATGCTAGATCAATTGACCAATCAGGGTTGCAGCCAATTTCACTTGGGAGAAAAATCCTTCTTAACCCAGACATAACAACTCTCCCTTTTTAGAAAAAGCTTTGATTTTTATCATTGTCACCCTGTTAAGGATGCAGATTTGCATAATACTGAATTTGAGCTCTATTTTTAATTCAGGTGGTCCTTGAAATATGACCGGTTATTTAATGGCCATTTGAAATGAGAGAGCCCCTCCCAAAGGTTTCATTCCACCCTGTTTCGAACTTATAGCAGCTGCAGTGCCCCTGTAGCCATTCACCCTTACCACCACCACCACCACGGGAATGCTGAAGCACCCCCCTGCCTCTCTCTCCCCCATCCCATCCCACGGGGGATCCTGCAGCGTTTGGGCCTGCTCCCATGCCTCCTGGAGGCAGCCACCATTTTCAACAACCCAACAATTACTTTCAGAGTTTTCTGCCCCAATCAGCTGGTGATTGAGAGACTGCAAACCTCTCCTGGCTCTTGCTAGGAGATGAATGTGTACCAAATGGCCGCATCCGAAGCTGGGTCCTAAAGGGAGTCAGACAGGTAGCAAAAAGCTTTCCAAAGTTTTCCAAGCTTTTGGGCACATGTTGGTGCTCTAGCCACTTTTTTCTTTAGAGATGAACTTTTTCTTCAGCTCCTCAAGGCAAACACAAAGGATTTTTTTGCTTGTTTACTTCCTTTTCTCTAAGCCTAGCAAGAGGCAGGAGAGGTTTGCAGGCTCCCAGCGGTCAGCCCATCAGCTCAGCTTCATCGCCCAAGCAAGGAGGCTGGTTTGGAAATCTCTTGGAACTCAGTGTTAGGCCCTAATCTTGCTAGGTTCACACACACACACACCGCTGCTCAGCTGTTTTTGGCTTTGCAAAGCTTTTTGCTGCTCGTCTGCCTCCTTTATGGCCCCAGCTTGTTGGCTGACTTCCCAGGGCCTGCCTCTGTCCATGAGGCACCTAATGTCCATTTAACGAATTCTTGCAGGTTCACGTTCATCAGGGAGAGCAGGGGGCTGGGGCTGGGGCTGGGGCTGTTAAGCAAGTCTGTCTCACTTAAAGGTTGCCACCACTTGCAGCCATGAGGGCAGGCTCTATTATGGTAGTAGGCTGAGGACTACCTGTAATGGTTTGATATTGTCATTATGATTATCCTTGTAAAAAGAAACAAGGGTGCAGTTCCCAGGCAGTTAGGTGAATTGTGGTGAAAGGTTGATTACCCAGGTTAGGATGAATACTAGTGAAAAGACAAGTGACCTTCCGTCTCAGATTATTGGTCGGTGAGAGCAGCTGTTTCAATCCTTTTGAGAATTCAGAGGGAGCCGAACGCTGACCTAGTGCTATTTCTCTCTGTGTGAAACTGTTTCGTTGCTTTGACTCCTCATAAACTAGTTGGTGTTTGTGGTCCAGGTTACCAGCACATCCGCATGTATGACTTGAACTCCAATAACCCCAACCCAGTGATCAACTACGATGGGGTGAGCAAGAACATCACCTCGGTTGGCTTCCATGAAGACGGCCGGTGGATGTACACGGGGGGCGAAGACTGCATGGCGCGCATCTGGGACCTCCGGTGGGACTTTGGTTGTTGATCTCGTACCTTTCCAAGACCGACCCTAAACAGGCAGGCATGGAAAGGGGGCAGCTGAGGAGGAGTCAGGTGCAGGTTTTGCCCACACGATGGGCACCTTTGCACGCTCCAGACCAGACATGTCAAACACAAGGCCCGGGGGCCGGATGCGGCCCGCGAAGTGGTCTCATGTGGCCCGCGAAGCCATCCTGGAAACAGTGAGGGAACGGCCCCCTCTGCCTTGGCCCTGGCCCAGGCCGGCCGGGAGCCAATGAACAATTTTGTGGTGGCCATCTATGCTGAAACCATTCAGTCTTAGCTCCACAAGGCCATCTGGAAACAGCGAGGAACCAGCCCCTGCCGCGTCGGCCCTGCTCCCTGGGTGCATGCTGGGGAGGTGTCACCCTTTGTGAGGAATGAAGAAATGGACCATCGCCTGGAAGTGGCCAGCAAATGGCCCTCGCCTACTTCACATATCCGGCTTGATGGGCTCTGGGGGAGGGGTTTTGGCATGCTCTTCCAGTGGACCATGCCTTGGCGCTTGCCCCGGTCCCACCCCCTTCTGCCAGAGATCCTCAGATGTGTCCCACTCCTGCCCAGGCCCCCACGGGCACCCTTGACGCAAATGATGTAGAGCTGGCCATGCCCACCCAGTAGGCCACACCCATTCTGCACCCACCCAGTAGGCTGCACCCACCCTGGCCACACCCACCTCCCCCCCCAGGGCAATCACAATGCTGATGTGGCCCTCAATGAAATTTGAGTTTGACACCCCTGCTCCAGACAATGGGGAAAGGAGTAAAACTGATCAAAGGATGATTTAGAAAAGTAAATGCCCCGAATTTCATGAGATCTTACATGGGTGCGTGGAGAGAGATCTTGTAAGATTTTGCTACCTTGTTAAAGTTGGGTCATTCTTACAATTTCAAGAGGACAGTTGAAACCCTCCAAAAGGCACCATAAACCCCATGAGGCACTGCCAGCATAGATACAGGTTCAGCCTGAGTGGGATGCTCCCTCCGGGTGGGCCTGTGCATCCCATCATAGGTAAGAGAGTCCAAAGGAAGGCTGGGCAGCTTTGAAACCGGTGGGGTGAGAAGCTGCTCTGAGTCAGAAGTTTCTTAGCATGATAATAAACAACACCAAAACGACTGAGCTATTCCCCTGTGAGGTTGAGGTTGAGTTGTAGTTTTTTTTCTCGCCTGTGAGCAGAATCTGTATTGGAGGCACCTCGGTATCGGTTTTGGTGAGCTTCCTTCTTTTTTCAAAAGTGCCTTCCTGAGGTTGCTGTTTTTCGGTTTTGCCTTAAGTAAAAAGAGGAAAAATGAAGGGGTGAAGAGAGAAGGAAGCTAATGAGTAAACCCTGCTCATTGTAGGACTCAAAAATACATCTTGGAAATTCTGAGGGCCTGAATGCTTCAAGGTTTTCCCGGAGGGGACAGATATCCTACTGAAGCACAAGCGCTAAGGCGGGGGTGAATTCTGGGAGTTGAAGTCCACAAGTCTTAAAATGGCCAAGGTTGGGCACACCTGGACTAGAGAGTCTGGTGTCCCCTTAAAGATATGTGTACTTATTCTGACAAAAGCATTTGCCATCCGGCATCTGCACCTGATATTGTCCCTCTTGAGCCAACCTGTTGTGGAAGGAGAGCATACAGTAGGAGGCCCAGTAATGAATTTTTAAGAAATGCAGCCATTTAAGGAAGGCAAGGACGGCTGTGCCAGAGTAGTCTTTGACAGCATGATGGCCATCACTGTTAAGCAGAGGCTCTTTGGATGCTCCCTGGAGAGCAAGCAGTCCCAGCATCCCTTGACTCTCCCGTCACCTCCTTTGTGTCTTGTCTCAGGTCTCGCAATCTTCAGTGCCAGCGCATTTTCCAGGTGAACGCGCCCATCAACTGCGTTTGCTTGCATCCCAACCAGGTATGTGAGGCAGGATCCCCTGCTCTCTGCTGCACGGGGGAAGAGGGTGCAGCAGCGGCAGGACCCAACAGCTCCCTTGCTTCGTATCCCCCCAGGCTGAGCTCATTGTGGGAGATCAGAGCGGCGCTATCCACATCTGGGATCTGAAAACGGACCACAACGAGCAGCTCATCCCAGAGCCAGAGGTCTCGGTCAATGCGGTACATATAGATCCGGATGCCAGCTACATGGCTGCGGTCAACAGCTCGGTAAGGGTAGCCTGTCCTGGACTCGCCGAGTTCCTCGGTTAGCCTTCAGCGTGGCATAGAGCCAGCGGACCGGGTGCTTTCAGCCGTCTCTCCTCCCGCAGGGCAACTGTTACGTGTGGAATCTCACGGGAGGCATTGGAGATGAGGTAACCCAGCTCATCCCCAAGACCAAGATTCCTGCACACAACCGCTATGCACTCCAGTGCAAATTCAGCCCGGATTCCACGTGAGTAATTGGTGGCATTGCTTTGTTTTCTTGGCCCTGGAAAAGGAGGGATCTTCCCTCTTTTGGGAGGGGGAGGAGGAATATTGGCCTGGCAGATCAAGCTTGGACAAGAGGAATCGTGTTGGCCTGCAACAGGTGGGCTGAGCTATGGTCGTGACTGGGTGGCATCTCCTGGCACCCTCTGTCCAGCCCCTGCTGCGCTTCAGACTTCACTGCTGTAAAAGCTGATCTGGAACCCAGGTCCAGTCATAACTGGGTGGGGAGCGGGGGTCCCTCTTTCTTGCCCTGCCCAGTCCAGCCTCAAGCGGTGAGACAAGCTGGCAGAGAGAGGGAGGCAGATCTTTCCAAAGGAGATAGTTGAGGAGGACTCCCAAGCCATATTAGGAGATCTACCCTGAATTTGGAGGCCTGATCTAGTAGCTCCTTTCATCTTCTTTGCCAATTCTTGATCTGTCCAGTTTTGAGATGCCCGGACCCACCTTGGACCAGCTTCCTTCCAAAGAGATGGGGAGATGCTTCCCAGTTCCTCAGATAAGGCCAGAAAAGGGGCCAAACCTGCTCCGATTTGGAATAATGGGCCGGACCTGTCAGGCTCCTTCCTTCAGCGGTGTTTGCTTTTTCTCCCTTCTCCAGGCTTTTGGCCACTTGCTCTGCTGACCAGACGTGCAAAATATGGAGGACCTCCAACTTCTCACTGATGACGGAGCTGAGCATCAAGAGCAACAACCCCGGGGAGACCTCCCGCGGCTGGATGTGGGACTGTGCCTTTTCGGGGGATTCCCAGTACATTGTCACAGGTGAGAAGGGCGGAGCCCACAGGCCCACCTGCCATCCTGGGGCAGGGAAGAGCCAATGCATCTCTTCCTTTCCCCTTTTGCCAAAAATATAATATGCATTTTGAACACACCTGTTCTCCCTTGTGACCACAACTCAGCTCAAACTTTCTGTTGCTAAGCGATACGGTTGTTAAGGGAGTTTTGCCCCACTTTACGACCTTGCCACAGTTATTAAGTGAACCATTGCAGTTGTCACGTTAGCAACGCAGTCGTTAAATGAACCTGGCTCCCCCATTGACTTTGCTTGTCAGAAGGGGATCACGTGAGCCCCGGGGACACGGCAACCGTCATAATATGAGCTCGTTGCCGAGTGCCTGAGTTTCAGTCATGTGATCATGTGGATGCTGTCGTGGTCATAAGGGTGAAAAATGGTCACAAGTCACCTTTTTCAGTGCTGTTGTAATTTCAAATGGCCATTAAACAAATGGTTGTAAGACTACCTGTATTATCCCGTATTTGGGAAAAGGAGAGAAGGAGCAATTCACGGGCCAGCCCCATATTTTGCTCCTGTTGTAGAGGCAAGACACGAACTGGTCTCGGGGGCTTTGGGGTGTTCTTTAAGGCCTAAGATCCTAGAGCTGGAGGGGCCCTTGAGGCTATAAAGTCCACCCCCTGCTCTGTGGAGGAATCCACACAAAATCCGTGCAGGCAGATGGTTCAGTTTCTCCTTGAACCCATTCAGCAGAGGCCCCTCCACCCTGGCTCCAGGTTTCCACCCTCTCATGGTGTCCTTCCTGTTAGGAAGCGTGTTCCGACTCTTGAAATCTGCCTCCTTAGAACTCGCATCTGTTCTTCTGCACCCAACACTCCGGGATTGTGAGAGGGATACTTTGCCTTTTGTGGGACTCCCCTTTGAGAACTGGAGGGGCTGCCATCTTGCGCCCCCGATGTTCACTGATGTCAGAAGGCTGGACAGAGTTCCCTCAAGCTCTTAAAAACACGGCTTAGCCCGGGGTAGGCAACCCAAAACATTCAAAGAGCCACTTGGATCCGTTTCCCACCGAAAACAAAACACTGGGAGCTGCAAAACCCTTTTGACATCTAAAATGAAGACAACACTGCATATATCCTTTTTTACCTTTATTATGTGTGTGGTATGTGTGTGTATATTTATGTGTGTGTGTGTGTATAAAGGTAAAAAGATATATGCAGTATTATCTTCATTTTAGATGTCAAAAGGGTCTCTCCCTTCCTCTCTCTTCCTCTTCCTCTCTCTCTCTCTCTCTCTCTCTCTCTCTCTCTCTCTCTCTTTCTGCCCTTGGTCTGCCAGTCCTCTTCCCCCACTCTGTCTGTGTGTGTGTGAGAGAGAGGGGGGGGGAAACTTGCGCTCCCCCCTCTCTACCTCCCTCTCTCTTTCTCTCTCTCTCTCTTTCCCCCCCCCCTCTCCCTCTCTCCGATCTTCTGCTCACCTGGCAAGCTGGCTTCAAGCTGTTCTCCAACAAGCTGGCACACATTCTTATTGGGCTAGCTCAGGGGTAGGCAACCTGGGCTCTTTTATGACTCATGGACTTCAACTCCCAGAATTCCTGAGTCAGCATAGCTGGGCTAGCTAGCTCTCTCCTGCCCTTCCTGCTTCCTGCAGAGACGCAGCAAAGGGAGGAGCCCCACCCAATAAGCTTTTCATCTCGTGGAACAGGGTGAGGCCACTCTCTTTTTTACACACACACACACACACACACACACAGAGAGAGAGAGGGGGGGGGGGAGGAAGCGCAAGTGCCTCTCTCTGTCTCTGTCTCTCTCTGCAAATGGCAGAAGAGGCTGGGAGCCACAGGAGAAGGCTCAAAGAGCCGCATACGGCTCCGGAGCCACAGGTTGCCGACCTGTGGCCTAGCCATTTTCTTTGGGGATCTTGCAATATGCCGCAGGAGGACTTGGCAAGGGTTGGACCCTTCTAGAGCAGAGGTCTCCAAAACTTCGCAACTCCTAGAATTCTCCAGCCAGCAAAGCTTTTAAGAGTTGTTGTGGACTTCAACTCCCAGAATTCCCCGACCAGATTGGCTGGCTGGGGAATTCTGGGAGTTGAAGTCCACAAGTCTTAAACGTTTGGACACCCCTGTTCTAGAGAAACGGCCAGCCTTTGGCCATCTGTCCCTCTCTTCCCAGCATTGGTGCTGCCCCCTTGAACTCTCTTGTTCCCCCTGCAGCCTCGTCAGACAACTTGGCCCGGCTCTGGTGTGTGGAGACGGGGGAGATCAAGAGAGAATACAGTGGGCATCAGAAGGCGGTCGTCTGTCTGGCTTTCAACGACAGCGTGTTGGGCTGAGGAGCAAGCTGGGATGGCACCCCTTCGCCGGCCGATCTGCCTTCTGGGCGGAGGAGAGGATTCCTGTTTGGCCCCATCGGCCACTGCTTGTTTCTGCAAACGGAGCGGAGCCCAGTCTAACTCGACCGAGGCTCCACTAAGAGTCTCTGCCCTTTGGCTTAACTGGCAGGTGCTGTAAGGCTGGCCTCTCTTGTGCTCCCCAGTGGAAGCGCCTCCTTAAAACCAGCCTGGTTTTAGACTAAAGCAGGGAAGCTGCCCTTTCCCTGGCAGGGATGGGCATCTTTGTCTTGGCTGCCTCTAGGACAGGGGTAGGCAACCTCGGCTCTTTTATGACTCGTGGACTTCAACTCCCAGAATTCCTGAGCCAGCACAGCTGGCTCAGGAATTCTGGGAGTTGAAGTCCACGAGTCATAAAAGAGCCGAGGTTGCCTACCCCTGCGTCTAGGAAGAGCCTTGTGGGCTCTGGGTCTGGGGTGAGCTGGGTCTCCTTTCCGAGGCCTCCTTTTTCGCCCCTGTCCTCTCACCCAGACCCCAGGCTAGAGGAGGCTTCATTTGGGAGCTGGCACTGACTCCAGAGTAATTGTGGGCACTGCCTGCAGGAGAGGCAGGCTCCACTCTGGCCCTCCCTTCCCCAGGCAGCCCGGCTGGGTCATCGGGCTTAAAAGAAGAGGTTGGCCCAAACCTTCAGGGAAGCCTCATTATCCGAGGGCAGACTTTTCCCTCTGACCCGACATGCTCACATCCCAAATCAGAGCGTCCCATACATGATGTTTTTTTTAAAAAAGAGGGTTTTTTTTTCACATAATGCTTGTATGGATCTTACCTTCACCATAAAGCTACTTCTATCAGCAGTAATTATTTACATGTTACAGTTGAAAGCGACAAACTTCATAAATGTATGTATATATGTATATATATATATATATAGTGAGGTGAACACAAGATGACCATGTAAGTGGAGTTGTTTTTCTTCTGGCTGGTCCGGAGTTCTGAATTAGAAGGTGGGCTCTTTTGGGAGGCTGGAGGATTCGGGTCGAGCACAGGGACGTGGATGACCTCAGGTTCTGATTCGGTTCAAACGCAGCCGAGCTGAACCACGGAAGTCGGTCTCTTTGGAGCTTCACTCAGGAAGATAGTAGAAACAGATGGAGACACAGATGTTGTTTGGGAAGCAGATGTCAATGCACAGGTAGATGAGCCGCTGCTTTGGAGGATCTGTGAGGAACAGAAGAGTGTGTGGAGAGGTGGGGGTCTTTTTTTGGGGGGTGGTGTAACAGAGTCCTTTGGATAAGCTAGAAATGTTAGAACGTTGGCAGGGACAGGCTGCATTGCCGGTTGCTCATCTGGAGGAAGCCCCCCAAACTTTGTTTTAATTGTAAGACCCTCTAGTTCAGTGGTTCCCCAACCTTTCCAGCTTTGCGGAGTGGCGGTGTGTGTGTGAAAATGGCTTTGCGCAAATGCCCGCTGGTCACGCGAATGGAGCTGCATGCACGCGCTTGCCTGACGCTTGCGCGGCCCGGTTCTGAATGGGCCGTGGCCCAGTACCAGGTTGTGGCCCGGGATTGGGGACTTGGCTCTAGATACCAGGTTTTACTGGTTTAGACCTCTAATGCTCCCACAGGTGAAGCCACTGTGGCAAACCTTCCCTTCTTCCGGGGAGGAGGGATCCCATTCGGTCAAGCAATGTTGACTCCTGGGAGTTTCAGGAGGATTCAGAGTGCAGAGAGGTTCTGGATTAGATTCAACCCATTTCTTCCGCTCACTGACATCTACAACGTTCTCGAAGTATAAGGTGGTTTGGGCCTTGGGGGGGTTGGGTGTGTGTGTGTGTCCGTGTGTGTGTCCTTTTGAGTCATTGTTGGCTCCTGGCAACTGCCTGATCAAGTCCCTGCAGTTTTCTTGGCAAGATTTTTCAGAGGTAACTTGCCATTTCCTCCTTCCCAGGGCTGAGAGTGAGGGACTGGCCCAAGATTACCCAGTTGGCTTTGTGCCTTAGGCAGGACTTGAACTCCAGTTTCTAGCCTAGTGCCTTAAACCACTAGGCCAGATGTGCTCTCTTCTGCCTGGTTTACCTCAGATAAATTAAATAAACTTGGCTGTGTTCCAACTTGTGTGTCCTTGCCCCAACCACATTGCCTGTGCCCGTGATGGAGGCCAGGAGATGGAGCCCACCCTCCCTGCTCTTTCCAGGGTGCCTTCATTCAGGAAGGCAGCCTCTGGACACCCAGATGTCGCTGCCAGCAGCTCCCAACAAATGCCAGCATTGGCACAACGGATGGGCACCATTCAGCTTCACTCGCAACTCAAAGGGAGCAAAGATTCCCTGGAGGCTTTGGCATGGCTGCGCCCATCAACTTACCATCTTTCTTCTTAACCCAGCGGATGGGCACCTGCTCGCACAGAGCCCGGGCGGCCTCTCCGGCCTCCGCTGGCTCGACCAGGCTCCCTGGCACAACCCCCAGGAATTCACGGTAGTATTGGGAAGCGTGGCTGGGAAGCAGTGGTGGATCCTCCTGGCAGAGAAAGGAAGGGTGGTGAGGGTACCTCAGGGTGGCTCCAGGTCCAGACTGCCCGCTCAACCTCTGCGTCCCTCAGGATCCGCACTTCAGGCCGCTGCTCCGCAGGAAGCGCTTCCCAGAAGAGTCCCTGGGGAACTGAGGCCTCTCGGCCGGCCTGCCTCATTTCCATGCTGCTTCCCCGCAACAGAAGCGTTCAAAGGCCAGAGCAGTCCTAGCAGTGCTGTCTAGGCCACAGCTCTGAGGGATAGAGAGGTTTCTATTCCTCTAACCCAGGGCTTTCCAAACTTGGCGACTTTTAAGACTTGTGGACTTCAACTCCCAGAATTCTCCAGCCAGCAGGGCTGGCTGGAGAATCCTGGGAGTTAAAGTCCACAAGTCTTAAATTTGCCAAGGTTGAGGACGCCTGGTATAAGGTCTCCTGCTTGAGCAGGGGGGTTGGACTAGAACACAGGTCACCAACCTTTTCATGCTGGCGGCCCGCAGGGAAAGGGAGCAGCTGGGAAGTTTGTGTGCACATGTGCGCACAAATGGAGCCACAAGCGAATGGGGCCACCTGCACCTGGCTAGGAGCGCAGTTTGCGCAGGCGCTAGCCACTGCTGCAGTTAGCACCCACGTGCATGTGCAAACAGGATGCGCAACCTGCACTGCGCTAGCAGCCCCATTTGCACACGTGCGCAGGCACTAACCGCTGCCGCTATCAACTGTGCGCATGTGCAAATGGGCTGTGTAAACCCTATGCACGCTAGCGGCCCCATTTGCACAGGTGCTAGCCGCCACTGTTAGCCCCATGCACATGTGCAAATGGGTCCACGGATGCTAGCGCGAGGGGGGCGCACACTGGCCAGTGTGTCTTGCGGCCCAGTGGCCAGTAGGCCACGGCCCAGTAGTGGGACACAGCCCATAGGTTGGGGATCCCTGGACTAGAAGACCTCCAAGGTCCCATCCCACTCTGCTTTTTCAGTTTGGAAATTCCTTGGCTGGGGTTGCCACTTCAGGAGAAGCCCTGAGGCTTCCCAGAGCTGGAAATCCAGGGGTGGGATATGCCAGCAGGCGCACTGCGTTCCCCCCTCCCTCTCTGCCTCTGGAGGCATCTTAGCTGCCTTGGTGAGGAACGCCCGGGCAGAGCAGAAACCTGAGCCCAGCCGGCATCCTTCTGACATTTTCAGGAAAGAGGGCCCTCTGTCTTCCCGAAATCAGACCTCTGCCCTCCACGCCTTAGGTGCCCTCGCTCCGACTTCTGCGGCGGCAGCACTTCGGACAATGCAGCTTTGTTCGCTCACCTTACGGGAATTGCCCAAAGCCAGCTATGAGTTGCAACCCCCCCCCC